AAAAAAAAAAAAAAAAAAAAAAAAGACAAAAATCAGGGCTAGATGTGTAGTACTTGCCTACCATGCAAGAGACTGGATTTGCAGGAAGAAGATATATAGAAAGCAATTGAAAGTGGGCCTGAATAGGCAAGGCTGGAACCATTTGAACAATAGAACTAAGAAGGTAGGATTACATCACAAACTTTAGTATAAAATACATATCTTCACATCTGTACTGATATAAATACATTATTGCAGATTTAAAAATGGAGAAGAAATGAATCTGTCACCTAAAAATTTCCAAATAATTTGTGTAGCTGACTCCACTCCGCAAGATGGATTGTAACTCCTCACTCCTTTAGAGTGGAATACCAGAACAATCTGGAAAGTGGGGAAAAGAAGTAAACTTTGCAGTAGAAACAATGGGTAAATACCACCTCAGCCAAGGGCTCAAGGCTGATATCAGCAGCAGAAGATCATGTTGACGGTGGGTACCTTTGATGTGATGTGATAAAACGTGGCACTTTACCTGCTTGATTGTCCTTCCCAAACTCAACCCCAGGCAACTGATGTGAACATTATACAGGTCCTAATTGAGAGACATAAAATATCCGACCAGTGCTTTCCGAAGTCATTGAAAAAAGTGAAATCATAGGAGCTGTGATATCTAAAGGGAGCCTGTGGAAATATGACAAATGTACTGTCCTGGATGAATACTGGGAAAAACCAACGAAATGTAAATGAAGTGTGGACTTAGGTTGATAATGATATGTCAGTATCAGTTCCTTAATCGTAACAAATGTACCATACTAATATAAGACAGTAATAATAGGGGACACTCTGTATTACCTCTATAATTTTTCTGTAAATCTAAATCCATTCTAAAATTAAAATTTACTTTAAATAAAGGAAACAACATGTTCTACAGGGACTGGAATGACAAAAAATATTGTGGTTTACTTTTTCTTGAGCATTGCGTGGCTGGACATCCATCCACCCATGTGTCATAAAATTATTTGTTTAATGTCTCCTGTGTGTCATGTTTTGGGGATGTAGGTGTTTACAATTTTGTAGCACATAAACCCAGATGTATTTACAGTACGGTCAAGAAGGGGAACTAGACAAGAAAATAAACATGTGGGCCCCTACCGCTGTTCCTGTGGTGGATGGTCTTCCCTGCTTCTCCCAGAGGAGGAGCCTCAGCTCGTCCAGAGGAGATTGGGTCCTTCAGATGGTGTGATTTTTAAGTGACAATTCCTTTTTTAAAAACTCCTGTAAATGTAGTTTGACCCTTTTTCTTAATAAGCTCTTCTAAGGTACTTAAAAGAATTTGGTTGATATTCAGTGTTGTACCCCAAAGTCTTTTAGTAAATCAGAAAAATTTCACACAGTAGGAAAATACATCTTTCTCTTATGAATTCTTTTGGGGTGTTTCCCTCACTTGCTTATATCTGCATGGGGGCTTTAATGCCTTCTCTTTCATTGTGTCATTTTCATGTATATGGCAGGGGCTAGGCGTCAGTTCTGTTGTCCACTCATTTATTCATTCATGAGTGGACTTAGCACGTGCTGTCTGTCTTAAGGCTTCTGCACTGTGTTTTCCTGCTTGAAATGCTCTTTCCCCAGAATTCCTTCACTCACTCTCCATTTGAATATCACTAATCATAGATGCTGTCAGTACTCTTGAAACACTGCTATCCTTCCCCAATTCTTCATTCTCTGTCGCATTACTTTGTGCTATTTTTCCACAAAGCATTTATTACCACTTGACATTTATTAGTTAATATAACTGTTTTGTTTATTGGTCTTTTCCCTGCATCTGGAGCAGAGTCTGGCACATAGTAAGCACCCAGCAAATGTTTGTTGCATGAATACATATTCAGCAGGCCTGTCTCCATTTCTTCTAATTGGCTTACAGACCTAAAGAAAAGGGTTTTGATGACCTGCTCTGATGTATCAGAGTTTCCTTGATAATTGCTCAGTTGCAAAGCTACCTAATGTGTTTGCTTCATTTATATTTGTAGAATATGTCACTGTTTTCAAGATGCTTTTGCATAGATTGTCTTGCAATGCCATGTGTGGGGATTTTTTTTTAGACCTATTCTACAAATGAAGAAGATAAGGAGATAATTTGCAAAGTAACTATCAGAGCCAGAGCTAGAAACCGGATCTCCTGACCTCTGCCTCTCCAGGGATGACCCTGGGCTCAGCTGTCTTCTCTACCTGTGTAGAGAGTACGTGGTCTTCAGGGCAGGAGCATAAGTGGCTTGTTTTATATCCCCCACACCCATTCACAGTGTCGATGAAGCATGTCTGTTTGGGCCTTTTGTCCTACAGAAGCTGTGCAGAGCTATCTTCTCCATCCGAAACAGGTGGGGGATGTTTTGGCTACTTCTTCCTTCAAGTTCTGTTTTCCTTTGATGGATCTGGGAAGAGTCTCAGAGATCAGCTTTAGGTTTGGGCCCATAGATCTAATGGGCTCAGGCAGTGAATCATCTGGAACCCTTGGGTGTGTTAAATCCTGATTCCCTTTGTCTGGCATAGGTCTGAGAGCCTCCTTTTTTCTTTTCATTTAGATGTTTCGGTATCTACACATTGGGTAATGTTCAAATCTGGGTAAACATCTGTCTCCTCAAATAGTTACCATTTTCTAAACATTCAAAATCCTTTCCTCTAGCTTCTTTTTTCAAAATATACAATAAATTATTGCTTTTTATGTTCTCTGTGCAAACACACCAAAATTCCTCTCTACCCGTAATTCTGTACCTGTTGATCCCCTCACCCTCTGCCCTGTTGTCTTAGGCTGCTTGAGCATGGTTCACATATTGAATATTTCAGGGCTAGGTATCCACATGGAAGGTGGGTTCTCAATTGGGCTGGCCGTGTGGCCCCAAGTTTCTTACTTTGAAACAAGCAGATAGATTGGTAGATTGCTTTGGCTAAAATTATACACATACACACCCCAGCTCTGTGACTACAAGTAAGTTACTTCACTTTTCTGTGCCTCCATTTCCTCTTTAAAAAAAAATTTTTTTTTTCCTGTACCTTGGTTCAAACTCAGGACCTTGCACTTGTGAGGCAGGTGTGGTGCCACTGAGCTAAATCCCCACCCTTTCCTCTTTTAAAATGTTTGCGTTATTACTAGCAAGCAGCAATTGTAAGGATCATCTGAGTCAAGCACCTGTAAAGCACCTGTCGGTATAATGCAGAGCATATCGCACTGCCAGTACATCGTAACTGTTACTGTCATTCCCTGGTCTCCTTGTGCTATTCTGTGAAGCTACTTAAATAGATTTAAGATATTTTTAAGGAAAGTTGTTTAAAATATTTGCAAAATAAGAAATAGCATAATATCATCACTTCTCGACCTTTTGGCTAAGATAAAGAATAAAAATGGCATGATATCTTTCATGAAAATCCTACTCTGGTTGGAAAATAGCATGTCTATCGATGAACAAGGCAGTAGAAATCAGTTCATGGTGATTCCTTCTGTGTACTTTCTATCAAGCATGTGGAAATGGGGGAGAAGTGCATGGCCACTCCAGTTTTGTAGTAACGCATCATGTTCTGACGTATGAAGCACAGGGCATCCAATTGTTCTTTATTCTTCCCAGCTATGCATTACATAAACCAACTTGGTTTTAACTGGCAATGTAGAAGAATGGAGGAGAGAGGGCCAGAGGTCTGTAAGGCCACATTGGGTGCCTAACTTAATTCTTCCAGTTTTAAAAGAAGGAAGAAAGTATGGACAATTATTTTAAAGGTAGATTTTGGGTTTAGTTTTTCAAATAATTAAAGTTGTATTCCTCAGGGGGGAATAATTTACACAACTCATTTCTTTCACTGACTTACATGTAAAAAAAAAATACGTTTTTAATTAACACAGGAGTTTTTCTTGCTTTTGTTTCAGGATCAGATTTTATTAAGACCTCTACTGGAAAAGAAACAGTAAATGCCACCTTCCCGGTAGCTATAGTAATGCTACGGGCCATTAGAGATTTCTTCTGGAAAACTGGAAACAAGGTAGAGTATTGCAGAAAATCTCTCTTTAAAGATAATGTTATTTATAGTACTCATTACAGCCACCACGATAACTGTCTTTATATGCAGAAGGTGCGAATGAGTTACCTTTATTAAGATAAATGTTTAATTTACCTCTCATTATAAAAGAACACATTTATGGGGGGGGATGTGTGATTAACAGAAAGTGAATGTGAGCGTGCAAGTGTGTGTGAGATCAAGATGTAAACTCACTTTATGTCCTTTTCTTAACCAAAGACAATTTTATCATTGACAAGAGATTCCTAAATGGGTTCTTTAATGAATTAATTCTGCTGCAACACAGAGGCTTTCTGGCAAGGCGTTGGCCAGCGAAAACAGGTTAATGCAGAAATTAAACTTCCTTGAGGAATGGAAAGAATTGCAGAGTAACATTTATTGAATGATAAGCTGTGGTGGTGATATGAAAAGTATGCAATATAATGGGAAATAATCTTTTCCTGTCATTATTGAAGGACACACATAAATTGGTTTTTCTGTTGGGAAACCCCCGGTCCAGAAAAACTTATTACTTTTAATAATATGAGGTGAAGAGAAAATTCTCGAGGAGATGAACTTATTAAACAAAATAATGAAATGCTGTGAAACAGCAGGGAAAAGGTAGCTAGACGTTATATAGCTCTTGAATTAAATATCCATTTTTGCGTTTTATGGCAGTTGGATGTGCTCTTTGGAAGACTGTTAAGCTGAGGAGGGTATATGCTAGCTTTTGTCAGCTTTTTGAAAAATAATACATGTTTTTTGAAACATATGAAGTTAAAAGGAAAAAAATGTGTATGAGGTATTTTTGGATGAGGTGTTTGGATTTTCCTTTTCACTTCAAGCTGCTTGTCTAGCTGCAAATTAACTCTAAGGATTTTTTAACATCATTGGAGAGAAAGATAGTGTGTGTTGTTTGCGTGCGTGCGTGCATGCGTGCATGCGTGTGTGTGTGTGTGTGTGTGTGTGTGTGTGTGTCTTTAATGAGGCTTTCCCTTCTTGAGAGGCATCTTTTAAAAACCAGTCTCTTGATTTCTGCCAAATAGAACCCCAAAAAGGCCTTTAATCCTTTGCCAGCTGGATGTGATGACTTTATAAGTGACTGTAGCTTCAGTCTATTATACAGTTGGAGACTTTTTTTTGTACTGGTTGTGAGAGGAAATAAACACTTTCCAGAATTTCCTCTCTTAGAATAACCTCCAGTTGGAAGTACAAATAGCTAAAATGTCTATTGTAACCTGCAGATGACAGCTGATCCAACTTGTGAACCCTGCTGGATTGTCCTTCTGCACAGATTCACATAAGGTTTTTTAAAAAAATAACTTTTGTTTTTGTTTTTGTTTTTTTAAAGAAAAGCAATAACAATGAGGAATCTCTTGGTTTCTCAGGTGAAAGTATCACTGCTCCATAGATTAGTAGTTCTCTCTCAGCCAAAGCCCATGAAAATCAGATGAGAAGCCCTTATCTATTTAGATGCCTCGACCCTGTGTCTGGCGTTGCTAAGTCTTAGGCATCCTCGGGCATCTGTGTTTCATAAGCTCCATTGCCAGGGTTAACGCATGCCATTGGGGACCCAACAGATGTCTTTTGAGTAGTGACCCGTGTGCCCTGTTAACATGTGTTAAATGGTTGGAATGCAGAAATGAACAAGTGCCCTTCCAGGAAAGCTCTCAGACAAGCCAAGAATTTAGAAAATGTTTCAAGTGCCCAGTGTTCCAGTCTTGTTTTCTGTCTTTCCAATCCTTTCTTTTTAATTGTGTGAATCATTTCCCCTTAATAAACAAAGCCCAACCCAACTTCAGGAGAGGGACGGGTATGTTGTGGCTTGTGTTTAGATGCTCCCCCTCCGAAAGCCTCATGTGAATGAGCTGGGGCTCTTTTGGATGTGGCTGAATCTAAAGTGTGTGATGCTGGGATTAAGAGCCTGTGATTACTAAACCCTACACGTGAGTTGTTTTGCATTGCCCTAATCCTGGTAGTGTGAATAAAAGGGGCAGAAAGATACTGTTAAACTCCCTCGCTGCCTTTGCGGCCTTGTGTATACCATGAAGTGTTTGTCCTCTGCGGCACCCCTCCCCCTTCTCTCGTTGCTTTTGCTTCTTCTGCTACATGAGCCCTTGCCCCTCTGCCACCCTGCCTTAGAGCCAGGGGATTATGGACTGAAACCTCTACAAACTGTGAGCCAAATAAACCTTTCCCTCTTTAACTTTGAGTGTTGGCTATTTTGCCTCAGCAATAAGAGAAAAGTAACAGACGCAAGGCCCAAGTCAAATTGTTCTCATTTAGTCACATTCTATGTATGGGTCTACAAATCAGGTACAGACGTTTTGGGTTGTAGAGAAGATGCACGGGTGGCCCTGACCAAAAATTTCTACATCATTGATTTAAGTGGTGTTTTACAGTGTGATAGGCTGCCTCCTAGACCATGATTAGTGTCACTCCTGAGAAGCAGAGGTTTAATATTTCATAACTGATTTCATTATAGATTTATATTTTCCATATTCTCGCCCTTAAAAAAATAGATTAACTTATGCGTGAATCACTCTTTGGAAACGTTGCCAGATAGACTTGCTGACACAAACTGAACTATATAGAAAATCTATGTGAGGCACTGCCTGATTGACAGAAAGGCTTCTGTGATTACCATATATGCTAATATCAGCTAATTGACGGGTTTTGTTTTTTTTTTTGCCTCATTAAAAAAGCCTCATGCCCCCCACTGCCTTACAGGGTCATTGTTTGAGGTCCAGAGTCACAGCAGATATGATTACAATTGCTGACCAGTGTAGTTGTGCATTCCTATAATCCCATCTATTTGGAAGGCTGAGGCAGAAAGAGTGAAGTTTGAGGCCAATCTGAGCTACTTAGCAAGACCCTGTCTCAAAATATAAATATGAAAATCAGCAAGGGGTTGTAGCTTGGTGGCAGAGTGCTTACCCAGCATGTAGGAGACCCTAGGTTCAATCCCCAGTACTGCCTCCCACCAATATAAGTGCTGCCTTGCTCCTGTGTGACCATGTGACGTTGTATGATTGAGCCACGGAGATCAGTTAGGAGACTTACTGATATTTCAAATGAGAACTGGTGAAGGTCTGTACTGAATGTAGTGTAGGAGGAGCAGACAGGGAGAGGAGCATTTGGGAGACACAGAAGCTGAGGAGGAAAGATTGTTAGGTCTTGACTGTTGAGGACTGGGATGTGGGCAGAATGGTGGACTTCAGGTTCACGCCAAGGGATCCTGTGTGAGTTGATAGTAGGACACTCGTGTGTTACCTCCCTTCTCTCGCACTCGGTTGGCAGTCCCTCCTGTTGCGCTACTTACCAAAGAGCAGCTCTGAATAATAAATTGAGAGCCTTAGTACTTGTGCTAAGTGAGTGTTGTTTGCTCTTAGCTATAGATTCTCTTCCACTGAATGGTTAGGGTCCTGGACAAGAAAGTCCAAATGATCAGGGTTTTGCCACAAATGGAACATAGTTTTCCTCTCCTGGCAAATACAAGATATTATTTAAAAATGTAAGGTATTGGCTGAACTGGGCTGGCCCTAAAGACTTCAGAAGTCTGAAGAGCTCTCTTTTTCTATTGTGTTTATGTAACTGGCCTGCCTGCTTTATAGAACTCTGCCTACAACTTCAGAAAGAAATACAATTAAGTTGATTAAAACAGCTGCTCGCTATCCTTGCTGAGTTGCTGCCAGTATGGCTAGGGTGATCTTGTGGACTTAAGGATTCTCTTCTGTTATTTTACACACACGTCTGTGTTGAACCTCAGGATGTAGGCTGAAAGGTGATATAGAAGCATACTCGTAGAAGTGTAGCTAACAGGCTTCTGTGATACACTGTCCTATATATTGACACCTTTCTTGGTCTCTCTCAGATTCTCAGCCAAGGCCTACTGATGGTGGAGGGTTATGACTTTCTAAGAAGCGAAATGTTAATGAGGGTTAGGTGCCCTCCTTTGAGTCTCCTCAGAGGCAGTGAGACTCTTCCTATTAATCCTGGAAAAGTTACTTTGCAGCATGGGTGGACATCAGTGATGGAAGCTCTTTTGCTGGATGAGATGAAAGACACTGAAGAAAAAAAGAAGGATCAAGATTCCACATGAACACGCTACCATTTTTTAAAGCAGTCCGATAACACTCAGGATTCTCCTCTGTCTTCCTCCTAGGTGGGCTTTAAGCCAGCGGGAGGCATCCGCACTGCCAAGGACTCCCTGGCGTGGCTCTGTCTCATGAAGGAGGAGCTGGGGGATGAGTGGCTGAGGCCAGAACTCTTCCGCATAGGCGCCAGCTCTCTGCTCACAGACATAGAGCAGCAGGTGAGTGGTGACTCACTGTCCTGGCACTCAGCTGCCAGGTGATTTTGAGACAGAAATGGGGGACCGGAGGTGAAAACTCATCCGATTCACCTCATCACCTCTAAGCCTCTGCCTTCTCTCAGGTAGACATCCACCTAAAACAGATTGGCTGGAGATTCTGCTGAAACAGAACCCCCCCATACTGGGGATTGAACCTCCAGCCTTTATGCAGAGCTACATCTCTAGCCTTTTACAATTTTTTTGATTTGAGATGGTCTCACTAACTTGCCCAGGCTGGGCTCAGGTTTGCAGTCCTCCTGCTTCAGCCTCCCAGCGTAGCAATCACTCTGTGATCGTATACGGATAACCTTATATGTATGACTGTATAGTGATTATTAATGAGCTAACCTTTGATCTTCTTCACAGATTTACCATCATGTGACTGGAAGGTACGCGGCTTCTCATGATCTTCCAATGTCCTAAATCAGCAACCTGCCTCAGAGAAGTTCTTTGCAACAATGTTTAAATGTATTTTTTTTGCATAATTCCTAGCCATGCCATTAAAACATAGGAGAATAGATAACTGACTTTTTTCTCTTAAAATTTCTACTGGATTTAAGCCTCAGAAATGAAAGAAAAAGCAAACTAATCTATAAGTGGCCCTCATTTCAGGTACATCTGAAACTACCTTAATTACCAAAAAAAATCTGCACTATTAATTTTGTGAAGGTGTTCTCCTGAAACTCTGGGTAAAATGTGCATGATAGTTTTGAAACCATCAAATTCTAAGGGGTGGGGAAGGAAGCTACCCAGGAAGTATGCCCAGCAAACAAATTACAGCATTCCCGAGCTGCTACAGAAATGACTCCAGGAGCACCAATTCTGTGTTAATATCCTGCCATGAAATCCCATCCTTAAGTTTTGTAGAGAAGATTTTTTTAAAAACTAATTGATTTACTTCTCAAATTTCTGATATTGTTATGTGGAACTATGAATGTGGTTGAATTTTTTGAATAAAAAAGTGATCTTGTAGTTGTTTAAAAATTGCTTTAAATTATGACAGTACATATTCAAAAAATCGATCCATTAAACATAAAGAGGTTTTATCAGTGACTTTTTGAATCTCTGTTATAGGTTCCTTGAGGATGTATCTCAGATAAAGCACCTTAGTTCGTTACGAGAGAATATAACTTATATCTGTGTTCTGAAACTCTTAAGATTTTTCTGTCATAGTGAAAGGGGGAAAACAGCAAATAGTAACACTAGGAAAGCCTTACTATGTGCTAAGCTCTTTACGAATATCACTTTATTTAATCCTCCCTTAATCCTTATAATACTAAGGTAAGTACAGTAAAGTTTTTAATCCTCACAATAGTAAGTACTGATATTATCACCCTTTCATACAGATGAAGGACTGAGGATCAGAATTTAAGCAACCTGGCAGACGCTGCTAGGAGTGAGGATTCAGACTCGAGCCCCGGTGGGCTGTGAGGCTGCAGTGGTCACTGAGCGTGACCGTCACACGGCTAGGTGAGTGTGAACAGAGCCCAGCGTCAGTGTGGCAGTGGTGATCTACCTCCTGCCCTGCCTCCTCCCAGCCTTCTCGCTGGCTGGCACCCTCACCATATTGTAGATTCGAGGTTTCCTTAAATGGCAACTTTTATCGGGAGTCTTCTGTTCTTCTCTGAACAACTGGCAGGTACTTATGTGCAAAAACTGTGGCCTGCAAATCAGTTTTGGTTTTATCTTCTCAGCTGCTGAATTCTAGCCCAGGCCTTGCTTCTTTCTAGCTTTGGGACCTTGGTCCAGTCTTTTCACATCTCCTGACCTCTGTTCTTCATCTGAAAAATAAAGGGGTGAGGGCAAGTGACCTAAGGTCATATTACCCCACGGATAACTAGAAAAAAATCTAAGAAAATATGTTATGACTAGAAAGAAAACACTTTACACCAATCAGAGTTAGAATTTGCCTCTCGGGAGTAAATTAAACAAATCCCTCAAGGCACCTCTCTAACTAAAGAAAATTAAGGACAGAAAAGAAATCCTGCTTCCCCCCAAAAAAGCCTTAGCAGAATACCGACTCCTGACTTGTTCCTTGGGTATGGGCCATGGCTCTGAACGCCACATCCAGCTTCCTGATAGCTGGCCCACATGCCCACCAGTGCAGTGGCTAAGTCACCTTTGGAGAAGAAACATCACAGAACAGTAATTACATTCTATTACCTTAGAAGCTATTCTGATTTCACTGGGGTTTCTGTTTTCCTTCCATTAAACCCAGCTGGTCATTTTAGTTGATCAAGTGAACAGGCATCATTATCTTCAATTTTAATTTATATGAGGCATCCACTGCAGTTGACCTCAGGGACAATTAAAGATGCACGTAGGAAATTAAGACTGGTGAGTCTCTCACACCTATTAGAGACTGATGAGCCTGGCCTGATCTGAAGATAAGTAATGCTGTATTTCGAGGGTCAGTTTATTCCAGTGACCATGAGGCTCCTCATCAGAGACATTTGCCCCTTCTTACCTGGCTCTTGAAATCAGTTGTAACACAGGCGACTTTAATGGGAACCCTGAGTTAATGCTGATTGCTCTGACAGCCTAGGAGGAGGTCATTTCTGAGGTGACCAATTTACTACCAACAGATCTGTGTACTTCAGAACATCGGGAGCAGATGCTTAGCACGTCCAGAAAATGGTGTGTTCTGCATTTAAAAAAGTGAAGTAGAAATGAATAGAAAAAAAGTGACTAGAAGCAACCTGCCCCCCCCATTGTTGAACGTGTTCGATACAGCGTACTCGCTCTTAAAAGTTACTTTCAAAACAATCACACTGTTTGGGGCTAACAGGAAGTCACTTGTACAAGGTCTGAACTGAGGCCAGAACACTCACCCCCACGGGATGAAATAACTTCACTAGGCCTAGCCAGGCCTTTGGAATTGGACGGTTGTTGCTTGTTTTCACACCCTGCTGCTGTATATAATTATATTTGTCAGTGTGTGACCTACTTTCATCTCTAGGATTCTTCCAGAGGGTGTTTTGGAGAAGATCAACCATCTCAATTTAGCCCAAGTGATTGCATGATAGTGTGTTGATTTCTTCTGTCAGAATTGCATAATTTTGAGTGACTTCCATATCTGAATTTTTTTTGTAAAGTTGAATTTAATTTCACTTTTTTAGGAGAAATAAAAGGAGACTTGTTTCCATTTAATCTGTGTGCACATGGGGAGAAAATGAATTGTATAATCACAGTTATATAATTATACATGCTTCGGCTCATTCTGGATTACTTCCATACTAAAAAGTTTGGAAGAATTAGTTCATATGAAAAGGAGCTTCAAGCTGGGCATGGTAGCACATGCCTGTAATCTTAGCATTTGGGAGGCTGAAACAGGAGGATTTGCTGCAAATTCAAGGTCATCCTGGGCTGCATAGTGAGTTCGAGGTCAGCCTGGACTACATAGCAAGACCCTGCCTCATAAAAGCAAAGACAAAACAAAATGAAAAATACCTTCTAAGGAGAGCTGTGCAGAAGTGGGGACTGTCACGGAGCCTGGGAGTGTATCCAGTCTTGTGCCACAGTCCCTGTCCTGACCCACAGAAGGCTTCCCCGTGTGTGCTGTGGCTGTGTTACAGGAACCAGATCAGCTTGGCAGAGTCAACTTACTCTTGTAGTACAGAGGAAAACTGACATTACTTTTTCTTCCATCAACTTGACAATTTTTTTTGACAACATAAATAGAGCCAGAATGCAGAGCTATAAAGAAGAAAGAGGAATTTGAGTAGATCTTGCTTCAAAGAGAATGAAATGTTATGCTCATTTTGGCATGAGGAAAAATGTATGAGGTGAAATCAATTTCTACTTTTATGGTCATGATCACACTCAGGAGTCTCGCCTCCCAAAGGAAAATACGTATTTAATAACCAACACCAAGTGATCCTTTCCAGAAATGACCACTGGTAACATCTGGCTGATATATAAAATATGTAGTAAAAATAATCATTTTTAATTAACTAAAACCTGCTCAGGAGAGAGAGTAGAAGACTATCCATCTGGTCAGTTCTTATTTAATAGGGCAAATGAGAATTGGAATGTTTAATGCAATGCATGTGAAATACTTAGTGACCTTACAATGAACTAAAACTTTTTTAGGAAAGATGGTAAGATGGAAGAATCAAAATATCTAGAAAGGACAGACCTGAAATTCGATTTTTTTAAAATTACATGTTATAAAACACAGTATATTTAGAACTTAGTTTTTGTGGCATTAGTTTTCAAATCATTTGATCAGTAAAATGAAGTATACTTTATTCTGGAGGTGGACAAGGATGATGACATATTAGAAGGTAATTATAATTAGAATGGACATTCCCTAGGAGGGAGAGATGTGGTATGCCCCAAGGAAACATTTCCCTTCCTGTGCCCTAAGTCCCATTCAATAAAAACAAATCATATGCACAAACAAAAAGTAATTATAAACCCAGTGTAGTGGCACACACTTGTAATCCCAGCGTTCTAGGAGGCTGAGGCAGGAGAACTGCAAATTCAAGCCTAACCTGGGTGATTTAGTGACGCAGAAAGACCCAACCTTAACTTTGAAATAAATAGGTCTGGGAAGGTAGCTTGATGTAAAGGCCCTGGGCTCCATCCCTAGAACTTCACTTCTAATTCAGTGGCTTGGTCATGGGGGCAGTGAATTTGTATTACCAATGAGTTCCAAGATAGTGTTGATGTTGTGGGATATGGAACCACTTTGAGAACCACTAGCCTAGAAACAAAGCCTTGTGCTCAACTGCATTTCAAAGTATGGCAGCTACCAAGCAGCGGCAGCTCTTCACTTTCCTGAAGCGCCGGGATAAACATGTCAATTTTGCTGCTTTTCATAGCCAAGATAGGAGAGGGAACAATGGAAATACCACTATTCCTTAATCCTTTCACAGTAGGCAGTGAACTTCATTCTCCTTTGGGCTTAAAAGCCAGCTTTGGAGCCTAGAATAAACACTTTCCACAGGCTTAGAATCACGATCCACAAAATCTCCAGAGGATTTCAGCAAACCAAGATAAGTAATGTTCGGCTGTGCTTGATTTTTACCAATTTGGAATGCTTAATTTGATTCAAATTTTGTAATGTCCTTAAAACCAAGGTCTGTTGTAACAGCTCTTTCAAGCATTTGGAGTAGATGGTTCTGTATAGATGACCTTTAGAGCTAATGAAAACATTAGTTCTCTGGTCTTTTCAACCCTAAAGGGTGTTTTACATTTGTGCTATACATAGGCATGGTTCTTAGTTCTAAACAATAGAGCCATAATACAGAAAAGATACTTATTTTTAGTTTGTTGAGTGTCTTACAGAATATCTGGGAAGACCAGATGTAGTAAAAAATAGTGTTGACCACATAAGAATAATGGTGAAACCACTCTTTAAAACTGTAGCAGTGAAGACTGGATCCCCAATTGCCTGTGGTCACTCGGTACCAGAACCTGCGCCTTTGCTGTGTGTGAAAGCTGCATTTGCCACAGTGGCCACAGGTGGATTCTTCACATTGCTCTGTTGGGTACCGAAGTTCTGTGCGGTGTGTCTGATTGTCAGGAACTCCCTCACCTGCCTGTGTTGCAGCTGCCACCGAAGCTGAGAAAGCAGATCGTGATGGCCTGCTTGGGGGAGAGAACACAATACTCAGACGACATGGGATGGTCACCAGTCATGATCATTGTCAGCTGCTGCACAGCAAAGTGCTACTCAAGAGAAAGCTTAGACTTTATGGTAGGAAAGCGCTGGCTGGCTGTCAGCTGTATGTCCATGTCATTTAGCCTCTGTGAACTCGGTGAAGCCCCCGCTTCTCTCTTGGTCCGGTACAGTAGGACCAGAGAAGTCCCGAGCAGTTCTGTTTAGAGAGACATCCTCAGCAGCAGTGTATGACATTACGCTGTCC